CATTTGAACACATGGCTACATGCTCGCTTCTTCACCTATCCTTGGAAATGACATTCCTAGTGGCAATAACATCAGCCCATCAGGTGGGGGAAATGGCTGCCCTAATGCAAACTTTCCCCTCTCCCCCCAAAGATAAGGTGTCTCTGTTCACCCATCCCAAGGACCAATCATCTTTCCACATCAACCAGGCCATCCACTTACCTGTGGTCTTCCCCAAGCCTCATGCCAATGCTTTCGAAGCACAAATGCATACCCTTGATGTATGTAGAACCAGACTTTTCAGAGTGTCCTCTAAACTCTTCATTTTTATCATAGAATGCAACAAGGGACAGCAGATATCATCCCCAAAACTGTCACACTGGATCTCAGACCACATCAAAATGTTGCAACCAAAACCAATTGTCACCACCTACCTCAATTTGTGTGCACTTCCCCAGGGCAGAAGCCACATTGTAACCTGCTCTGCTCCATGGACCTCAGACCAAACCTTTGCCAGGCGCTGTGCACTTTCTTGGGGACCTTTCCTCCACCAGAGTGGCAAGGGTTGTCTTGTCAATGGCCTACTTGCCTGATCTGAAGTCCCTACTTCTGTAGGATACCTTGCTTTCCGGTCACCTGCTGTGAAGCACCCACAGGAAAGTCTCTTCAAGAAAAGGAGGTTACTCCCCTTTAGCAGTAACTGATGTTCTTTGAGATGAGTGTCCCTGTGGGTGCGCCACCACCCTCCCTTCCTCTCCTCTACTTTGGACTCCTTTTTGTGGTCAGGTATCCAGGTGAAGAAGGAACTGATGGGAGAGTGGCCATGCATGTGTAGTAGTCCTGAGTAGAATCCATGTGCCTCCCTTGCTGCTCATGTATGGTTTCCTTCCCTCCCCTCATGCACTGTTGTGAAGAATCCAGTCTGTGGCGCTGCGCACGCAGACATTTGCTTTGGCGCACCCACAGGGATTCTCCTCTTGATTGCCAGTTACTGCTAAAGGTGAGTAACCTCCTCTTCCACCTCCCCATTCTCCTTCCTGTTCTGCAGCAGTGTGGAGGGTGAGAGGTGCAGGCAGGAACCGGTTCATGTGGGAAGCTGGCTTTCAAGCTGTCTCCTCACGTGTATTGGCTTCGGCAGAGCCATCTCCCCTTCTCCCTCCTCCCTCCCCCGCTGCACCCTCTCTATCAGCAGTATAGGAGGGAGGCATGTGGGATGCTCGTGTAGCCTCTGTTGGCAGGGAGCTTGGGCCACTCCCTCCTGCCTCTGTCTAATAGCTTACACATAGCCTTGCATTGGCATTGATCCATTTCCAGCAGCAGCATACTTCTTGACCAAATCTCAGTGGCAGAAGTTGCTTACCCTCCTTTCCCTGTCAGAGGAGAAAGCAAAGTCTGTTGGTTAGCAGGGTACCTCATTTAATAAAGGGAAAAGGGAACTGTTCAGAGTGAGGAAAGTTTTGTTTTGTTTGTTTCTTCCCTTTTCTCCATATATAAAAAAATTGCGGGCATATGGAAACTATTTACACTGGAGCATGCTATGCTCTTATGAATGAAAATATTGGGAGTTCCTGCAGTTTCATTCTGGATCATTCTGGATGCCTTGTGTAAGCAGGCCAGCTGGCTTTTTTTTCAAGGAAATGTCTGTAAGTTACATCAGAGTAGGGAAAATATTACCATCTGTTCAGTTCAGCTGGAATATTTCTTCACATCCTTTGTACTATGAACTTCACAAAAAATGAAAATATTTTTGGTTGAGGGAGTGTGTTCTTTTACACTGAATGCTCAGCACTTTATTAAATCCTTTCCCATTAGCAGAACACTTGCAGAGTTAGCAGATTCTGTTGTGTTCCAGGAAAAAAGGGAAGTGCAAATGAATCCATTCTTGATAACTGGAATTAATTTTAGAAACTCTTCATACAGTGAATAAGCCTTCTGAAAAATCATGTATCCAGTTCATGGGGATGAACTTTTAACTGAAGCTTTGAGCCACTTTCCATACAAGAACAATTTATTTTATATGTGGGTTTTCTTTTGCAGAGAGTAAAAGGCAATCTAGTTTGTTTAGCTTTTCTTAAAATATTGTCATCTCTAAACTTAAAATATTGAGTCAGCTAAAACTTTCAGACAGAGAAGAAGAACTTAAACTGTTTTAATTCTTCTTCCTCTACCTACTTCCATCTTCAAATACATTGCATCTGCATGTTGAGGCGAAGACTGACATGCGGTGGTGGAAGCAGTCTGCCTTTCACTCAGAAGATTATGAGAATCCGGTGGAGAGATCTTCCTATCTGACTGACATGAATGGTAAATACAACTGGAGCTGGTCTACAGCATGATTTGAGTGGAGTGAAGGGTTGCATTAGTCTATATCACTGTTATCAGGGGAGCAGTGAATAAATTAGTTACCTGGATGGCTGCCAAACAAGAGTCAGTCTCATTTCATATTTATTATTATTTTAGCCAAATAATACTAGTTCCTTGGGATTTTAGATGAACTTTCTGGTACCCAGTGGGAATGAACAGACAGTGTAAATGGAGTTCCACAATAGGATACTTAATCAGTCTTCCATTCTGTGTGGGACTAGCACGGATATGTTTTGGGCAGAGAGAAAACAGCAGATTTCAAATATTGTTTCTGACTCTCAGGTCTGAGGAGTTGTATTTGCATTTGGGAACATCTCTTGTATTTCACCGGTTAGCAACTTGTGTATGAAATGTTGGAAAAGTTTTTGTTTAACCCAGCGCTGCTTTTTGCATTCTTGCAAAATGTTGATTTGATTCCAATCAAGGGGAGATCTCTGTTTGAAAAACATTTTAAAGATTAAAGGAAAAGCCTTGAATGCTACAAACCTATGGCTAGATTGGGCTGAACTTCGTTTTGGCATTCTTAAATTTTGTGAGGTGTTGTCAGATTTTTAATGTTGGTGGGATATTTTTAAAACAGAGAAATGAAATAAATAAATTCTGATATTTTGAAAGGTTCCAGTTGTTTCAATACTTACCCAGGCTTGTACAGTTTGAGGCAAGTGAACAAGAAAATTGGACAAAAGTCTGGCCTGTAAGGCTATGTCTAGACTGCAGGCTTCTTTCGAAAGAGGCTCTTTCGAAAGCATCTTTCGAAAGAGCCTCTTTCGAAAGATCGCGTCTAGACTGCAGGCGGATCTTTCGAAAGAGAAATCCGCTTTTTCGAAAGAGAGCACCCAGCGAGTCTGGATGCTCTCTTTCGAAGACGGCCTCTTTACATTGAAGAACGCCTTCTTTCGAAAGAGGAACTTTCGAAAGAAGGCGTTCTTCCTCGTGAAATGAGGTTTACCGCCATCGAAAGAAAAGCCGCGTTCTTTCGAAATAATTTCGAAAGAACGCGGCTTGAGTCTGGACGCAGGGGAAGTTTTTTTGGGAAAAGGCTACTTTTCCCAAAAAAAACCCTGAGTCTGGACACGGCCTAAAGGAGCTGTAGTCTCTGAAGTAAATAAAGTGAAATTGTTTTCAAACTGCAGTTGGGCTACATGTGGCCTGTTTGACAATGCTGATAAATAACTGTGCAAATATATCTGTCTAAAAGTAGCCATGTGCCTCACCCAGTTGCTACCAGTAACTAAGAGGATTCCCTTCCCTCAATTCTGGGTCTACCTTGCCAGCTTTTAGAGATCCCTTTTTATCCCAAATACCCTGCCATAAATCAAATGGATCTTTATGGCTCATATGTTCAGAGTCCATTTTTTTTAGCTTTTGCTTTTGTTAATTTGTTTTCAGGATATATTTCAGAAATGTCATCCTCACAAGTATTAACCAAATTATAATTTTATTTAGCAAAGACATATTAATGCACTATTAGGCTTATTAATTAAAACATTTAAGAAATGCAAAAATAGATGCTAGTTACAAAACACACTGTAGTGCAGGCAACAGACTGGGCTTCCATTATAATTCTGTTTCCTTGGCATGCTAGTAACTTTTTCTGAACATTTAACTATTCTGAATGTGAAATTTCCATTTTTAATTTCTGCTCCAAGGTAGGAGTCTCTGTCAATGTGATGACATCTGCTGAGAGGTTAGCAAATTCTGATGAAGCCATGGTCCCTCTAACTCCTCTACGCATTATGCCTGACCAGAATACTTGGACGCTTCTGCTGTCAAGCTGAAATTTACATAACAGTTTGTCTCCTGGGAATATATGCATATACACAATCTTTTAAAAAATAATTAAAAAAGCAGTAGTTGAAGGTGTCTAAGAATTTTGCAGATTATAATCTTTCATTTGAGTGGTGGTAAGGGGAATTTCACAGTTACTCAAGTTAATACCCTTTTTATACATGGATTTTGTCCATAGAATCCTATGTAAATGATAGCACTCTTAGTTGGAAAGTTTTTTTTTAAAGATTAAAAAGATACCATATTTCTTTTTAGCTGCAAGATGTAGATACTGATATTTTCTTGTTTTTGGAGGGTTGTGAAGATGAAATAATAATTATAAAGCACTCTGAAAATGTAAAGCTTTCTATAATAAGTATTGTGATTTTAGTTTCTGTTGCTTGCTCTAACCCATTCTTCCTTAGCATTCAGTCTAAAAAAAGTTCCAGAGTATTTTGACTTTGTTTTTCTTGTTTACATATACCCAAAATGGCTTTCTGAAGTTTGCTATCTCTTTCTAATTTGTTGCTTTTGACGAGAGGAATGAATCTGAAACAGATCATGAATCAAAAGACCTTGTTCTATTTTGATAGAATCCAATATGTCCTGTTATAAATTTCTCATGTTCAAGCATCCCAGAGTCCTTGAGTGCTGAATTTGTGAGCTGATCCTGGCTTTTGAAAAGCTGCTTCTTTTGAAGACTCCATTGGGCAGTGTCTGCATTGTCACTTTATGTTCAGGTGTCACTTGATGCTTGTAACTTTCTTATTACTTGATACCTGGGTTGCTTATGTTCCAGACAAGACTGGTGCATTCTCGTTGATCAAAGTTGGGCTTCTTAATTGTACATCTCTCTCTTCTGTCTCTTGTGCCCTGTCCTATGGATGCAGATGGAGGCAGCTGTGATCTTGTTAATGATATGTCTAGCCCAGCAACAGGGGACTGCTATTCTCAGCAAAGATCTACCAGAGACAACTGGGAAATGAAGTACCAAGAGGCAGCAATCTACCTCCAGGTCAGTCTTTCTATTCAGTGTTGTGATCAAATAATCTACCCTGTATATGAAATTACTCATCAGGGACTTGAACAGGGAATAACCCTTTGAATAAATTGGGAGAGTGGACTTGTAAATCTTGATCATTATTAAATATAGAAAATATATTTGTGAAATTTCCTGATTACAACTAATTCTAAAGAGAGAGTGACTTTATAGTTAGAGGACGGATTGAGATTTATTCCTAATTCTGACACTCTGTGATCTTGACCAGTCAACCTTATTCAGGTCTGCCTAGGGAGGCTGTAGAAGCTCCATCACTGGAGATAATGTCTATCTAACCTGCTCTTAAATATATCAGGGATGATCTAGACCGAGGTGGGGAGCATTTTTTGGGTCTGGGGCCGCTGACCCACAGAAAAATCAGGGACCGCACACAAGTGAAAAGCAAACAAACAAAAAACCTTACTGACATGGGCTCTGACTGAGAAGGAGCAAGACACTCTGTACATTACCCTCTCACACCAGAGGCTGGGGACCCAGACTAGTAGATTTTGTGTGCTGTAGCCTGCAATGGGATAGCAAGGGGTCTCAAGCATCAGGACTGGCTCCCCAATGCTGGGTGGAGGTCTGAGCCTCAGGGTCTGGATCCAGGCAAGCTGGGGGCCTCATGTGTGACCCTTGAAACATTTTGGTGACTATTGCCCCAAAACGGAGTTGCCAGATTCTGCTGGTTCCACCTCCCCCTCCCCCGATCTAGACAGTACTGGGTCCTGCCATGAGGGTAGGGGACTGGACTTGATGATCTCTTGAGGTCCCTTCCTGTTCTAGTATTCTATGATTCTGTGTTTTATGTGAGCACATGTTTATATTACAAGTTCACTGTGAACATTCACTGAGTTAATGAAGACTCTCATTTTGATGCATACAGTAACCTAAATTCTTCCAATCCAAAAAACTATTCTTGTTGCTGTTTTGACCAGTTGCCATATTGATGTCCTTGAAATGAAGTAGACATAACTTACGTTGTATTCACATTGCTTATCTAAATTAGCACCTTTAAGTTGGAGTTTGCTATCTGGATAAGAAGACTTAGTTGCTCAATATTTTGAATTGGCTAGTTACCAAAGGACAGAATTTCAGTTTACAAACTTGTTTTGGGTGAAACATGGAAAAGAATGTCCTGTTGATTTATAGCTAGCTTTCTCTGATTAGAAGTTCATGTCAGGATCACTAACTAATAGTTGTAGTAGTGAAACAGAACACGATCTTTCACGTACTCTTGAGAGAGGGATTAAGTTGTTAGCTCACATTTGCCGTGTGGATCACCTCTTAATGGAACAACTGTCTTATGGACCTGACCTCACCTCCAAACCATAATTGCTTAACATCCTTATTGTAATTGGTTTGCCTTCCCTAGAAATGTAATGTTCTGGAAGTATTTAGCTGTCTCAGTTGGAAACAACTAAGCAGCACGACATGACAACTTCAGACAACTGGTCCACAATGTGAGAACGTCTAGTTCAGTTGTTGGGAATCTGTGACCCATTGGGTTTCTATGTGTGACCCTAGAAACATTTTGTTGACTATTGCCCCAAAACGGGGTTGCCAGATTCTGCTGGTTTCTGTCACACACTCATACACACTCACACACACACACACCTCCCCGCCATGTGAGGTGTGCGCTGATAGCGCACTGACTATAAGAGTCTCGTGCTCCCTTTGAATCCAAATCAGAGCACTGTTACAGCAGTTCAATGGGAATACCCTGCAGATTCTAGTTACACATGCACAATTAGCAAAACCACCGTATCCTGGGAAACTCTCAGTTAGGACAGTCTTGCGGCACAGTGACCTGAAGGGCCACTTGTGCAACCCACTAGGTTGCACCTTGCAGCTCTAGCTTAAACAATAGAAATGGCTGCTTGATGGCCCAATATTGGGAGACTGATGAGAACTATTCAGTATAGATCCATTGGAAGCAGGGCAGTCTTTTATTACTTCTTTAACCTGTAAAAAAAAAAAAGCTACTGATGTAAATCAGTTGCAAGCAAACAGTTGGAGTACAGTAACTGGGTTTTTTTTGTGTTTTGTTTTGTTTTTTTTAATGTTAAGATCCTGGAGCAAGAGGACATGACGCTTCAGTGTATAGACATCTTTATTTTTTTTTATGGTCTCCAGCTTTCTATATTCCTTTCTGGAATGTACTGGACAGTGTATTAATGCTTTTACAAAAGAATGCTCCCTTCAGTCATTTTGCAAAGTTAAGATAAGAAACCATGACTGTCAACCAGTTAGGCATGGGTTAGCGTTCTGTCCTTGATGTTCATCAGTTTGATGTGAAGTCACAAAGGTGGAAATAATTAAAAGTTAACAATGTCAGAGTTTATTAGCGGTGTTAGCTAAATGTCTTTAACTATCCTGTAAAATGATATGGACAATGTTAGCTTTTCCTAAGAAATGAATACTTAGAAAGCTGCCAGCTGTTAGTGTATTTTGTACTAGTAAAATATATGTACAGAAAAGGGGAGTATACCTTATGTATAATATATGCAATGTTACCAAATAGTTACAGCATGCCCTTGAGACCCAAAATTTCTGAGTTCTAGACCTATCTCTCTCTGCCCTTTAGAAAAGACACTTAATCACTCAATGAATTCTCTTAGCAGTCTGTAAAATAAGAATAACACTATTTCCTTCACAGGACAGTTGTTAAACTGATTTGATGTATGTAAAGTTGTTGTTCTTGAAGTGCAAAACATGACTAATGCTGCTGATGTTGTTTTCTGTAGGAAGGAGAAAACAATGATAAATTCTTCACCCACCCCAAGAATGCCAAATCGTTGGCTGCCTATCTCTTTGTACACAATCACCTTTTCTATCTAATGGAGCTGACGCCAGCACTGCTGCTCCTGCTGCTATCTCTCTGCGAGGCCCCCGCCGTCCCCATTCTTCGCCTTGGCATCTATGTATGTAGCTGATGTCACAAAATGACAATGATTTTATGGGCACAGAGCAAGAAGGCAGGAACACTGTAAATATTTGGTTTGTGTTAATACCTGGGCAGAGCAGAAGCAATGTTTTTCATCAATATAGATATAGCAGAATTTATTTTCCATGAGATCAGGCTCACTCTGGTTAACAAGCAACACAGGACATATGTATAATGCTTTTAAAGGTTAACATCCCAGACCAGGAGTTAGCAACCTATGGCTTATGAGCCAAATATGGTTCACTTAGGGAACCAGATGTGGTTCTTGCAGAGATGCAGCTCCACTTCCTCACCCCCAGCTCTTCCCGCAGCTTGAAGCTCATGTTGGTGCTATAGCCTTATAGCTCCTTGCAAATTGGAATGCCAATGCCAGCTTCATGCAGGAGAGGGTGGGCAGAGAAAGCCTTGAGCCTCCCCGCTGGATCTGGTGTGCAGAAAACGTGCACAGCCAAAAATGGCTCCATGCACTACAGTGTCATCCTCCCTTCCTCCCCATCCTCCTATAGCTGAGGAAACAGTTTCTCAGGGACAAACTTCCTGGAGGTTTCCCCTTTGTATCCATTGGCCAGAATCCAGTGAATGGAAGCAGTGGGAGGCAGTGTTTCATGGTATGCACCCCTTCATGTCCAGAACCTGAACCCCTTCCCCCTCACTCATTTCGCCCCTCTCCCTTGCTGAGAGTCCACACCCTCTGCCCTCTCCTGCTTCCTCCCCCCAGACACTTTGCCCCAGCCGACTCCTGCACCCTACCCTTCACCCACCCAGCCCTTACCACCTCACTCCATCCTACCTCCTGCCCCCTATCTTCTGCCCAGATCCTCCTTCCCCGTCACTGTCCCACTCACTGGCAGCCCTGTCCTGCAAACTTAACCTCTCTTTTTTGGTGAGGGTTTTTTTCCTTCCTGTGCGACAGTGGCCACAAGACGATGTTGAAAACTTTTGTGCCGGACATAATATTTTACTTTATTTAAAAATGAAGCCTGGCCAACAAGCATGCAATTGGGGCCCAGCCCACATCTGGCCGCAGCATCATAACACTCCTTCATCTCCACACGCCAACTCTGAGTCATACTTCATACATCTGAACTCCCTGCCCTCAGCCCCTGATACTCCTACATCCCTAGTCCTCTGCCATAACACTTCTGCACCCCCACATATCCCAGCCCCCTGCTATAAAATTGACAGAAGACCGCCTGAATATGTGCATGAAGCTGGATTTGACCAGTTATGCAGACTTCAAAAAAAGCGTGAAAAGATGCAGCAGCAGACATCCCATTAAATAGTCTGAGTACAATGTTTCATGTATGCTATTAATCAGTAGTAATAAGTTGTATATTTTCAATTATGCAAATGAGCATTCTTACAGGCTCTTTGTTGACTTGTTCTGAATTTTGATGTTGCTTATCTCTTTGGCTTGAAAAGGTTGCTGACCCCTGTCTCAGACAGTACTGCCCATGATGTATTCAAACAGAATCATTAGCAGCTCTTAGAATCAAAACATTTCAGATCTTTGTCCCTTGGTATGTTTGAAAATAGTGTTATGTTAGGTCTCACTCAGATTCCTCCTATAATGTGGATAAGTCACTTAATCTCCATGCCTCTGTTTACTCAGGCTTTTTTCCATGTTTGTGAGAATTCATTTTAAAGTGCTTTGACACTTTATAGCTAGATTTTTTTAAAGGCCAATTCTCACTTTCTGTGGGTGCAGAATGTCTACAAAAATGAATTGAGTGTAAGCCATAATTTGTGTGTGTAACTCCCTGTGAGTATAGTGCAAGCATTCAGATTTGTGAGTGCAGCTTGCACCTGCAAAAGGGAAGCTGGCCCTATAATTAAGTGCTAAGTGTTATCATGATGGCTATTCAGAGTAGTATTTCTAATCATCCATAATTTTTCATATATGCAAGCTCTTTTTTTATCCAACTCTTATTCCCATACCACATCACAGGGGTATATGCCAAGCTGGGACCTTTCAAAGAGCCATTTTTGAGGTGCAAAAAGAGCATGAGATAATTACTTGGAAATGAATATTTATCATACTCCTAAAAATGGCAAAATAGTTCTTATTGATGGTTTTATCACACATTATTTCTGGGATAGCACCAATAGAAAAAAATGCAAAGGGAACCTTTGTTAGAGAAAGTCTTTAGTGATGTAAGGCTGGATTTTTTCCAAAGTGCTCAGTAGCTGTTATCAATTTGTTGAACATGTTTGGGGGGGAAAAAATCTAATTCTTAAAATATTAGTGCCAGGCTAATTAAGATTGTTTTAATGACAGAGGACTGTTTGTTCCAATTGTGCAAATGTTTTCAGTATTTATTCAGGTCTTCTCCTGCAGAGATAGAAGCCTGAATTTTTACAAACCAGAGGTTTGTTACAGAAGCCCCTAGCTTCTTGAGAAGGGAGTGTCAGACTTTGGTTTCTGGAACCAGTGGAAATTGATAAGATAAATTTTATTGGTGATCTGATTACAGATCCATGCAACCTTGGAACTCTTTGCATTAGTGGTTGTGGTGTTTGAACTTGCTATGAAGATGAGATGGATGGGCTTCTACACTTATCTCCGACACAAAAGAACCATGGTTAAGGTAAGCCTGCTCCACTCCTTGTCTGTCTTCAGTGTTTTTTCCTCCTTCATTGACTTCTGTCACCAAAGAACCAAAATAAATATTGGGCTATTGTATATAGGGCATTTGAGTTGTCTCCCAACTGCTATTATGTGAGCTATTGTCCATGACTACATTTTGGAATTCTTTTTACCTTCTTAAAATATCTTTCTCCAGTTATGGTCTCAATGTTCTAGAACACAGGTGATATTCCTCTGAACTTGCTGAAGTACATCTGCAGCGGTACAACTTTGTTTCCTCCCTTCTGTAAAGGCTGTTCCATTGCCTGGCTGCTGGGAAAGGAAAAGTAATGCAAGCTGTGCTTTCCTTATTTGTTCGTGAACACTACAACTTTGCTTTTCACTATGCTGGCTGTCAAATATACATTTTAGCTGACTTTAAGAAGATTTTTGTCTAATTCACTAATCTGGAAGTGGAAGAGAAGATGAAGTTAATTTAATGGTGATCTTTTCCCTTTTTTCTCCCCCTTGCAGACCTGTGTGCTGTTGGTGCAATTTGTAGAGGCAATAGTGGTGTTGGTGCGTCAGACCTCTCACTTCCGGATAACAAGAGCTTTGCGGTGTATCTTCTTGGTGGACTGTCGCTATTGTGGAGCTGTCAGAAGGTGACCGGCTATGTGGCCAACTGGCTGATCCTGTAGTTGTGACTGAGATGAAACTAAAGCTTTGTGGTTGTCAATGCAGCCAGTGGAAAAGTATTTCATAGACACTTCAGATTTACCTTAGAGTTTTGAAGAAAGCAGAAGTAGCAAGGCAGTCGTAAAAATGTTACATTGTGCCTTAGGACCAAAGCTTGGAGTGTTCTATTGGGAATCTGTCTTAATCCTGCAGAAAGAAATTGATATGGTGAAACTAGTAACATATGCATTACCTCAAGGTTGATTTCATAGAAACTAATTATGGCTTGGAAAATTACTTGATGTTCTGGGAACAATATAGCATTGTACTGCTGCATGGGAATGAGTTAAATTCTGATTTCTCAGAGATAAGCCAACTTGAATGTTATGATCTATGACTTTACTAACGGCTTATAAAACAGAAAAATATCATAATCCCACTGTATAAAGCCATGGTATACCCACACCTTGAATACTGAATGCTGTTCTGGTTCCTCCCACCACCTCCGCCACCAAAAATTAGAATTGGAAAAAGGATAGGACACCCAAAATGTTTAGGATATGAAACAGTCTCCATATAAGGATACTGGGAGTGTTCAGTTTATAAAAGTAATAACTAAGGAGGTTCTGACACAGGTTTATTTAATCTTGAAGGGTGTGGAGAAAGTAAATAAGGAAGTGGTGTTTACCCTGTTCACATAACACAAGAATCAGGGGTCACCCAATCAACTTAAGACAGCAAATTTAAAAAAATGCAGAAACTGGGACTGGACAACACTGGGTATTGCACTGTTCAGTTCATTCCATCCAGAGCATATGGTACCGGCCATAGTTGGAACACACAATACTGGGTAGACGGATCGTTGATCTGGCCCAGTGCAACCAAATTATGTAGACAGGATGCACTTGGGCTTTAGGATCATACTGCTATATTGCAGTCCATCTTACTCAGTCGCCTACTGTAAGGCATGATGAAAGTAAGTGTATGTAGTAGATGGTGAAAAAAAGATGATGAAAAAGATGTAGGATGCCCTCCAGAAGGGGAGTGAAGGAGACCTTTTGCCAGAAGTGTGATGCATACACCTCTCCTGATAGGAACAGTGACAAGGACAATGTGCTAGAAATCTTGGGCATTCCATTCCCAGTCATTGAAGTGAGAGATGGAAAAACAACTGGATTTTCCCCTTTATCTGCTTGCCAAGGAAGAATTGATCCATCCTCACTTATTGATGCACGTGCAGAGGTTTCCGTTTAAAATACAGACTAATTGTTTCCTTCTTTTCAGAAACCTGCGACAGATCTTCCAGTCTCTCCCTCCATTCATTGACATCCTCCTCCTCCTCCTTTTCTTCATGGTGATCTTTGCCATCCTAGGTAAGTTGCCTTGTGAAAAATTAAGCTGTCATCTTTCTTATATGGTACCTTGCAATAATTATTCTCCATGTACTACAAAATAACAAGGGTTAATGCAAGCTGATTGTATATAAGATGTCTTGGCAGATGCTTCACTTCCTTTCTGTCTTACTCATTTCATAATAAGCTGGGAGGAGTGAGCAGGTGAAGAGTTGGAAAACCTGGAATCAGGGATTTTAGCCCCGTGAGCTAATATCACAAGTAACTAGGGATAGGGGTAACTTTTCCGAAAGGATCAGAGGGGTAGCCATATTGATCTGTAACTTTAAAAAAACAAGTAGTCCTGTAGCACCTTGGAAACTAACAAGTGTGTGTACATGTATATGCACATATAGGATCATGAGCTTTCATGGGTAAAACCCACTTCCTCAGATGAGCAGGATTTCTTATCTTTTTGTTAGCTTCTAAGGTGCTACAAAACTACTTGTTTGCCAAAAGGAATTCTTGTATACTTTAAGTGCAATTTGCACGTTCTGCTAATCCACTCTTCAGCCTGCAAATTGAATTTAAACTTCTGAAAATGACTGTCTGTACTGTGCCGTGTACAATGCCATCCTCGGAATCTCCAAGAATTTGTTTTTCAGAAGTACCTTTCCAATGTATGTTAAGTATAAGGAGTCAATAGTATCGGACCAGGCACTGTGTGGCATATACAACACCTTTTCACTTTCTTAATATTGGAGTAATGCCAGTCCAGTGGAAAATGAAACCCTATTACTTCATCTTCTCAAAAGCATTATGTACATGCATTATACTACATGTAAATATTAAATAATGTTGCATGCAAATATTAAATAGCAAAGCATTCATTTAGCTGATCTGCAGCTTTATAGCCATGATTTGAGGTCAAGGAACTCTTTGTTGTGGTGTTTCTTGAAATGAGTCCCTTTTTTTTGTTTTTGTTTTTTCTTTCTCTTTCCTCTTTCCATTTCTCTAGTTTTTTATCTATTTTCCCCTCGGATCCCGTAAGTAGACCTGGATTCTTCAGACTTAGCTTTTTAAGACCCATTTAGTCCTCTAAAAAACCAAATTCAGATATTCTTTCTGTGTATTTTAGAAATGTTTGTCTGTGCAAGAACTCCTCCTAAGCGGTAAAAGCTAGAACTACCAAATTTGTTATGCAGAGTGAGGGGTTGTTTTTGTGTCAGGACAATGGGGTTTATGTGGAATACGATGGGTTTGTATCAAATGGAAAGGGAGAGGTGTGATGGCAGAGGCAGTTATACTCACACTTGACCACAGGGGGCAGCAAGTACCCCAGTGAGCAGTTGTTGGTTGGCAGCGCAGTCCCTGGCCTGCCCTGGGGAGCAGCTGTGCACCCCCGCCTCCTCCTGCTCTTAGCCAGTCCCAGGCAGTGTTGGGTAAGTCTTCCAGTAGTCTATATATGTGCTACAGCTATAGGTTGGTTTGTTTGCTTGTTTATCCTCCTAGAGACAACTCATTGAGAAGGAAAGTTATTAATTGGAGTTAGGAAAAAAAAAGGGCAGAACGCCAGGACTGACCTTTTTTTTTAAAAAAAAAAATGATAGTTAACTGAGGATGAGACTCCCATGAGAAATAAAATGATACCTACTCAGTATCGGGAAACCCAAAAGGGATGATACGTTTGTCACTTCTCTCTTGTTTCTGCCTGAATCTAATCAGGACAAGCTATATCCCTCACTACCAGAACTGCATGTCTAGTGCAGAGTGAGACACTTGTGGGCCTGTGTATAAGTTTCCTCAGTATATCTTGCTGCCCTGTGGTTAATCTTCTGTCCAGATAAGTAAATGAACATCCCCAATAAAGAGTTGTGATCCCAGGCCAGCTGCTGGCAACTTCTTCTGATATTCATGTGCTACAACAAAACAGATGGAACTTCTTCATAGCATGATCACAGGTCTAAGGAAAATAGGACTTTCCCATCCCAAGTGGAAGATAGACCATTGGGTCTGCAGTGAAAGAGTGGTGTAAGACATTCCCATCCTTTAGTGCCTTTACTGATCAACAGCCACATGTTCCAGCTATCAAGTATGACTACAGGGTGATGAAAGTATTGGGAGTAATCCACAGGAATGTATAGACAAGCTTTAAAATTTAACTCTTCACTGCCATACTTGTAATGGCATGCCCCATCTATAAGCAAACACATGTAGTAAAGAGCTACTGAGAGAGGTTAGGAAATTAGTTAAGGAATTATAACCTTGACCATGTCACTGTGAGAATAGCTTGCATTTGTTTTTCTCTTTCAGTATTTCAATACCTTAGAGAACAGCCTGGTGAATCTCTTTGTTCTTCTTACCACTTCAAAGTAAGTCTCTGTTTTCTTTTATTGGCGCTCCCACCACTGGAAAAAAGCCTCACAGCAAATCTTTCTGTATGAAACACTGGGTATGCAGATATAACTTCTTCATTGCATGAGAGCGATATTTCCCAGTGAGGAAACCTAAACGTTAGTGCGCCCTAATGTGCAATATCTGACCCTGAAGGCACTGCTATAATTCACCTTATAAGCCAGTAAGGCACAAGTTATGGCGCAGGTCTAAGAATAAGGAGGTCAGAGTTAAACTCCTTTGTCTGCCACTAATGCAGACATGGGGAAGTCATTTCACCACTCCTCTGCCTGTTTTTTCCATCTTATAAAATGAGGATAACAATGTGTGTTGTCTAGGATGATTGTGAGGATTAATTAACTTTGAAATCCTTGGAATAAGATCTCTGTAAAATTGTAAAGTATTACTGTTGATTAAAACATACAAAATATCTATGGTTTATTTAAGTCCCTGTTCCTCATAAGACTTGGGATGTTTAGGAATGCATAATTTGCACTGCATTTAAAACTTTTGCAGCCAATGCATAGTCTGCATAAACATATGAAGATGTTGGTTTGTGTATGCATCTGTCCAGTTCCTATTCATAGTATGATCATCTCCAGTCAGAGTGAAACACTGCATGAACGAGACTTCTGTGCTTATTAATGGCTTGTATATTTTGGGATGCAGTTTTCCTGATGTTATGATGCCATCTTACTCCCAGAGCCGCTGGTCCTGTGTCTTCTTCATAGTGTATCTCTCCATTGAGCTCTACTTCATTATGAATTTGGTAAGTCTTACTACAGCTGGGACTTCCCTTCTCCTTTTAACTTTGCAGTAGCATTTGTTCCATGTCACAATGGGTTGGTAATAGAATGTCCGTCTGTAATGACGCAGTAGGGATTTCCCCGATCCTGCATCCCCATAGCAGCAAGAACAGATTCTTCCAGCAGTAGAATAGCGAGATTTTATTGCTCCTCCAGGATACGGCACAGCATAGACATAGTGTGTTTACAGGATTCGGGGCCAGGGTGTTTCAGCCCCTTGGGTTAGGGGTCCATCACTCCTAACCCTCAGCCCCAGCAACCTGAGTCTGTCTCCCTCATGGTTCCAGCCCCAGACTGCCCCTTCCCTCGAACACTCATCTGACCCTAGTTTCCTCGCTGCCCCAACTCATCTGACCGATTGGGTCTTTGTCTATGTGACTTAGGCAGCCCACCTCCTGGGCAGTGCTCACAGAGGCCAGTAGGGGTCATTCACAGCCCACAACCCAAACACAGCAACCAGCAAGTTACTGACACTACATCACCACATGTGGGTGAGTTAGTGGGAATCACACCTCACAGCCGGGATACAGAGCAGGCAGCACCCCCACTACACCACACTGTCATTTTCTTGTGTGGTTATTTCTTAACCGGGTCTATCCAGTTAAAAACAATTATACCTTGTAACAAGAACAAAAAACAGGACTATGTAGCCCTTTAAAGACTAACAAGGTGGTTTATTAGGTGATGAGCTTTCGTTGGCCAGACCCACTTCCTCAGATCAAAAATTTGATCTGAGGAAGTGGGTCTGGCCCATGAAAGCTCTAATAAACCATCTTGTTAGTCTTTAAAGTGCTACATAGTCCTGTTTTTTGTTTCAACTACACCAGACTAACACGGCTACATCTCTATCACTTGTAACAAGGTTTCAGTGGTGATGATCAGGCTTCTTTGTAATTGCTCACAACAACATTGATAACATCTTTAGGGATTTTTTTAATCATTCAAAATCTCACAGGTGACAAGTGACATGTTCATAGTGACAAGGCCTCCTTTTGAAATCTCACAACAGGTGTGTTAGGTAATAGCTAGGGATGTTAAATATCGTGTAGTTGAATAGTTGTGTAACCACATGAAATCTTAGTGGTTACATGACACTTCAGTAGTCCCTGGAGATGGAATCCAGTGCACTCCCAGGGATCCTCTGCTACTCCCCACTGCTGCCTCTGTATCAGCAGTAGCAGCAGGGGGG